GTTATCAATGATCGGTAACATTTGATACCTTTTTTTTCAAAATACTAATATTTAGTAGTTGTGTATACATCGAAAGATTAATTGATAATAAGTCTTCATGCCGTTCAAGCAATTAAACTAATTAATCTAATATTTTGGTGGTCAGTGATCTGGAACAATTGCTAATTTTTCTTAGCGCTCCTAATACAATTTTCTACTATACTAATCAATAATTAAACAGTTTTTACATTTCTCTCGAAAATGTACATTTGACAGTACATTTCTCTTCGCTTTAATGAATATGTTACAAAGTTGAACGTAACATTTTACTAATTTTTTATCGGCTAAAACTGAGTTCATATTTTCGTGATACTAATTTTTAAATTATAATTGTATTGATTTAAATTATAATTATATTGTATTGATGTTATTATATATAATAGATAGAAATTTATGAAGAAAAAAATTATGTAGACAAAAATTGAATTAAGCTGTGGTCATCGCTTTAAAATAATCGGGCAACATATAAAAATTTTCACTCCTTAAATTATTCCAGAGCAATATGTATAATATATGACTTTATTTTCCGTTAGTGTAAATAAGATAATTTAATTATTATAAATGAATTATTCAGAGCACGAAAGGGTTGGGAATCCAGTCAGGGATTCAATTGTTATAAGTGAATAGAAATAAAGAAATTGTTAAATATCACCGAAATGCATTATTTCACAGTCTAAATCAATTTGAAACAATTGAATTATTTTATTTCTACCATATTTCTAGACATTATTTAATAATTTTCACGGCATTAATATTACAATTAAACCATTAAATTAATTATTCCATTCAATAACTAAAAGTCATTTCTGTTAACTACATTATTCATGTTTGTTATAAATTATCAGTTTATAATTTTTTATTACACTTAGATTCATTAAGGAAGAGAATCTATCGTTTAATCGCTTCAAGAAAATTATTAGAAACAGTCGATAATGTTTAAACAATTGGAATATTCAGAGAAAATAAATAAAAATTCACTTCGC